TAAAGAATTTTTGAAAGTCATAACAGAAAAACATGTATTTGGAAAATATATAGCATATATATATGTAATTGAGTTCCAAGAAAGATGTCTCCCACATTGTCATTTTCTAAGAATTCTAGCCCATGAAAATAAAATTAGAGACCATGATGCAATTAATCAATATATCATGGCTGAATTACTAAATCCTCATGACAAGCCTGAACGTTTTGAAAAAATTACATTGCAAATGATGTATAGACCATGTGGACTTTTTTATTCTAATAGTCCTTGCATGGAAAATGGTTCTTGCTTGAAAGGTTTTCCAAAAAAATTTAATTATGAAACAATATTTTCAATTAATGGATATCTAGATTATTATAGACCAGACAACAGACATATAATTTTTAAAAATGGTTGTCATATGGATAACCATTGGGTTGTACCTTATAACAAGTACCTCTATAAAAAATATAAAGCTCATATAAATATTGAAATATGTGCAACTATAAAAAGTATTAAATATTTATTTCAACATGTTTACAAAGGTTATGACGGTATCACTATTAAAATCCATTCAGCAATTCAACAACATGATAATAGTTTAAATTGAGCTTGTTATGTTTATGCTCTAGAAGCTATATAGAAACTTTTTTAATTTAAAATGCATGGCTATCCAACACCTATAATCCGTCTTCTTGTTCATCAAGAAAAATTTTAAAATGTCTATTTCATTGAAGGTAATGAGAAAATTGAACTTCAAAGAGCTACTCAAAATAATACTATATTAACAAAATGGTTTAAATTAAATAGACATAATCCAAATGCAAGGCAATATATGTATCCTGAAATTCCTCTACATTATACATATAATAAACACACTCATTAGTGGCAGATTAAACATTAACAAAATATTATTTCACAAATATATTCTATTTCCCCATCTAATACTGAACTTTATCATTTATATTTTATATTGCTTTACAAAAGAGGGGCTACTTCTTTTAACGATCTAAAAATAGTTCATAATACTTATTTAAAAATATTTCAACTTATTGCATTTGCTATAGGACTTTTAGCAAATAATACAAAATGGGAAAAATGTTTACAAGATGCTTGCTTTTTCAAAATGCCACCACAATTAAGACAACTATTTGTTTTTTATGTATCTTTTGTAGTCCAAAAACTCTGTATTCCTTATGGAAAAAATTAAAAAACTCTTTTTTTGAAGATTTTATGCTAACAGATCCATTACTTTGTCATAAGTTTGTTTTACATGATATAAATAAAAAATTCAATTTATATAGAAAATCCAATTAAGACTATAAATTGCCTTTATCTTATACAAACTTTGATACAAATAATCATATTAATTTGACATAGTTCATTCATTCTGTAGAACAAAATTTACTTCAGTTTAATGATAAACAACAGATTATATATAATGATATCCTTAGCATGATCAACAACCCAACTGAGTAAAAATTGATATATTTTCATCAATGGTCTTGATGGTACTAGTAAAAATTTTCACCTTAACACTCTTATACATATATTTCAACTTCTAAACAAAAATGTAATTAGTGTTGCCTGGACAAATATTGCAAACACTTTACTGCATAATGATCAAGCATTATATATGACTTTTAAATTTCATGTTCCAATAAATGAAACTTCTATTTTTGATATTACAGCTAATAGTGAAGTAGGCCAAAAAAATAAAAATGCACATGTGTTAATATAGGATGAAATTAATATGGTTCACGCACATGCATTTTCTACCATTAATTTAGCATTACAAGATATAAAAAAATGAATTACCTTTTGGAGGAATTATTATTATTACAAGTGGTGACTTTAGATAAACACTACTAGTTATTCCACATGGTCATCAAGCACAAATTGTTTCAAATTTAGTAAAAATGAATAGGTTATAGAAATTTTTTAGAACACTTACACTAAAAAGGAATATGAGACTAATTGAAAATAACTCTTTATGGGCTGATTGGCTTCTTCAAATTGGAAATGGTAATAATTACGTGAAATTACCTAATTTGCCTTCAGAATCTATTGTATTACCTTACACACAAGTAATAATGTCCTTTGTTGTTGGTTTTGTTTTCCCATCTCTACAGGATATTTTAGACCCCTACATTGCATCTAATAAAGTCATACTTACCCCACTTAATGATGATACTTTCTCATTAATAATGCTATAGTCTCTTCCTTACCTGGTGATATACATATTTATAAAAGTGTTGACTTAGTTGATACTAAACACCTAGAAGATTTTCCAATTGAATTTCTAAATTTAATTACTCCTTTTAGTCTTCCACCACATAAACTCTTGCTTAAAGAATGTATTATCCTTATTCTATTAAGGAATATATGTCTATTGACTGGACTATGTAATGGTACACACCTCATACTTAAACATGCCTTGTCAACAATTTTAGACTGTGAAATTATATTAGGCCAATTCAAAGGTACACAAGCTTTCATCCCTCAATCACACTCACACCTTCAAACACAGAAATTCCATTTAAAATGTTTAGAAGACAATTTCTAGTGCATTTAGGGTATTGTCTTACAATCTCTAAATGTCAAAAACAAACATTTGACCAAGTTGGAATACATTTGCCACATCCACCCATGGCCAACTTTATGTGGCTTTATCAAGACGCACATCACTAAGTATTAAAGTATAAAACACATCACTCCAAGGATAGTTATTCCTTTTGAGTCCTTCTACTTTCAGTATCAACATAGTATATAAAGAGGTTTTATATTAAATCCTCCATGCATTGTTTGTAGCACTAAAACAAATTCTTGATATAAGTCTAATGAACAAATAAAATAGCCTACTAATAGGACAGCATATGCTAGGCAAGTGTTAGTCTATCATAAGGAGTTGCCAAACTTTCTGGGCCGCTAGATCTAGCCAATCACAGCCGTCTGATTGGGGGTAACTGTAAAGGGGTTATTTCTTTAACCATGATATTTGCTCCTAGCCAATGGGAAACCGTATAGTGTGCAGTGACACATGGCATATATAAAGTGTTGACTATGACTTGCACTCATGGTCTGTCAAGCGAATTGGTTTTGTTTTGTAATGTTTTTCTAGGGTTTATGAAATGGCCCTGCCACTGCTGCTGATTTGCAACCCAAATCAAAGGCACTGTGTCAACACCACTGGAACAAGCCATGCCATAGTACTATTTGTGTTAAGATTTAATTGATTTGTCCATGCTTTCTTTTACTGTCTTCCATTTTACTTTCTTTTCTTTTTCTTGAATGCTTCAACTCTTGGTGTCTTTTTTTGCTGTTGTCATTTTTTTCCTGATTTTGTTTTTGTGATACTTTGTCGTGTCTTTGCTCCTAAAGAACCTTGGTTTTTCTTTCTGCAGGAGAAATATTGGCAAGGAGACCATGATGCTCAAATCTCAAAGCATGGTCTCTTTTGTCACAGCTAAAATGGTCGAATATCAGTAATTTTATTCTTCTCTTTTATCCTTTGAGAAAGACTGAGTGTTTTTTTTTTGTCCTCTAGATTGGAGCTTGCTCGATGCATTGCAGATCCTTCGTGTGCCACCAACGTTGCATGCTTACAAACTTGTAACAATTGGCCTGACGAGACTGAGTGCCAGGTAAGTCTCGCAGTTATTTGGAATCTAGAGGGGATTTTAGGGCTTCTTTGTGTATGGGCAGAGAATGGAAGTGGGAGGAGGCCACTGTGGGAGCTGTTGCCGGGGTTGCCACCGTCGTGTTGATACCAGTTTCTTCAACGCTCGAGTCACCCAAGGATACTGTGGAAGCTGAAGACGCAGGAGCGCCGAAGTCTGTTCTCTTTGCTCAAAGAAGTCTGAGACACTTCAAGGTACCCAGGAGAGAGAGGAACCGGATCCGAGAGGAGGTGGAGAAAGAGGCCGTGGAGAGAGCCCGGAGGAGTGTACAATCAGTCCCTGCATGATCGACATGGAAAAACAAGACCAGGCTGTGGTTTCTTTTCTCTCCTTTGCAAGTAGCATTTCTTCGCATTGAACTCCAGCCGACGATGGTCGAAATCGTTTTGTTCATCAGTACAAGAGCACTGCCAATGCTTTGCTCACCATTGCGCGAACAGAGGTCTAGAAATCGAAAGCTTTTTATGCAAGGTGACATTTTTGCCTTCCTTTTGGCAGGGTGTATTTCCCAGTCCCGCCACCCTCGGGCTCACAGCGCAAGCGGGCGAGCTGGATCGCGCGTCCAAGCAGAGAATGTGGGAGGACGTGGATTCCTCCTATAATAAGGAGGAGGGAGTGTTGATGTGAATGCAAATGCTGGGTGTTGTTTCTTCTCTGAAGTCTTAGACTCGGCATCTGATTTATAACATACAATCAATTGTAAGAGTCTGTTAGGTGTGAAGCATTCATTGTGGAAGAAAATATGCAACACAGCTAGAGCAATTGTTTATAATCATCTTACAGCTTTGATCTAGAAAGATATTGGGCAAGCTGCTTGGTATGGGCAATGGTGAATGGCAAGGTGTTGGGAATGGTGAGGATTTGGGCTATGAGGATATTGTGAATTGTTTTGGATCAGGCTTAATATTTGCTATGCACAAATAGTGAACATCACAAATGGTGCTAGAACAGTTGCATGGATTTCAATGTTGCCCTGGAAGCATCAATCTTTTATTGATAATTTGTGGATCAGAAAAAACTTTGTTAACCAGGCAGTTTATGCTGGGCAAGTGCTAGTTATAAAATAAGAGTTGCGGCGGCGAGCGTGCCGCTGTCATGGATTGCCCCTTTAATAATATTTTCTTTTAAAATTAAATTATCATTTCTATATCATTGTTTGGATTCTTCTAGGGAAAGAATGCGGCAAGCGAGTGCTCCCAGCTGCTATCGCCATCGGCGGCCCTCTATACATCCCTCCTCCGCCGCTGTGGCATCTCACGCTCGCTCGCCGACGGCTGCCGCGTCCACGATCACATCCTCACCACAGGCCACTTCGTCCACCTCGGTAATCTCCTCATTTAGATGTACAAGAAATGTGGTGGCACCAGCAGCCTCGCGGCCGCGCGCGCAGTCTTTGATCAGATGCCCAAGAAAGATGTGGTGCCTTGGAGCTGCATCATCGCGGCCTACGTGCAGTCGGGGCATTGCCGCGAGGCGATCAATCTCTTCCAGCGCATGGATGTGGAACCCAACGAAATGGTGATCGTGAGCACACTGGCTGCGTGCTCCGGTAATCTCGCGCTGGGCATGGCCATCCACGCGAGAATTTTCTTCCCGGATCTCCGCAAGAGCGTGTTCGTCGGCACAGCACTCCTCAACATGTATGCCAAGTGTGGAGCGATCGAGCAGGCCAGGGCAGTATTTGATCAGTTAACGCACAAGGATGTAGTGTCGTGGACTGCGATGATCACCGCATTTGCCCAGATGGGGGATTGCCGCTAGGCGCTCAAGACGCTCGAGGGGATGATCCAAGCTCGCGTCCAGCCAATCCGGTAACCTTCGTCGCGGTGATCACTGCGTGCTCCAGCATCTCGATCAGGGCAGGAAGATCCACGACGCCGTGATCGACCTGGGCCTCCACAGCGACATCACGATCCAGAATGCGCTGGTTTCGATGTACGCGAAGGGTGGCAGCGCGGAGGAAGCACTTTTGGTGTTCCAGAGGATGGAAGATCGCAACAGGGTCTCGTGGAACAGCATGATCGCAGCCTTTGCCACGAGCGCAAAGTCTTGCACGGCGATGTGCCTCTTCCACGGCATGAACTTGGAAGGGATCAAGCCCGACGACGTGAGCTTTCTGGGAGTTCTAAGTGCCTGCTCGAGCACTGGGTGCTTGCGATCGTGCAAGCGGATCCACTCGCAGCTGGAGCTCGCCGCGGTGCACTCTCCTCCGGATTTGAGCGTGGAGAACTCGCTTGTCACTGCCTACGCCAGATCTAGAGGCCGCTGAGAGGATTTTTCAGAGAATCCCAGGCAAGAACGTCGTGTCCTGGACGGCCATGCTCACTGCTTACACCTTTCATGGCAATGGATCCAAAGCTCTCGAGCTCTACGACAAGTTGGTCGGGCAGTCGATCCAGCCGGACAGCGTGGTGCTGCTCAACGTAATCCACGCCAGATCACTGGTCGGGGACATTGGCCTCACGAGAAAGCTCCACGCTCACCTTGCTTCCTCCAGCTTCATGCTCAAGATCCAGATCCAGAATGTGCTCATCAACATGTACGCACGGTGCGGCAGCCTGGAGGAGGCAAGGTGGGTGTTTGATAGGTTCGAGAGGAAGAACTTGGTGTCATGGAACGTGATGATGGGATCTTATGTGCAGCACAGATACAACGAGGAAGCGATTGCATTGTTCTCAGAGATGAAGGCTGAGAACTCGAGGACCATGGAGTCGGGCTCGAGTAGCTCGGTCTCTGTGAGCTCGGACTCTAGTTTGTACACAAAGAGTGTGAAGAGCTCGGACTCCAGTAACACCTTGGCCTCCACCATCTCGGACTCGATTCTAAAGCCTGATTGCATCATGGCCGTCGCCAGCCTGGGCAAGCTCGCCGAGGGGCAGCGCATCCACACCGAGCTATGCATTGCGAATTGGGAGATTCTCGCGGGATCCACAACCAACATCACCCTGGGCAATGCACTGGTTTAGCATGTACGCGTGCTGCGGCAACATGGGAGATGCTGCCGCTGCGAAAGCTTGGCATATCTAACTTGAACACTTTGGTGCAAGTGGCACCAAAAACGTGGTGAATGAGATGGGGACACTCAGTCTCAGTTGCTATGGACCCTTGGCCGGAAGGGGTAGCTTGGGTGCACTGCCAAGTGTGGAGGATGCCCCCGAGGTCATGGTGAATAACTTAAAGGTCTGGAAAACCTAATACCTATTGGTAAACCTGTTAATGTGCCAAGATGAGATCACTCGGTGATCTTGTGGCTAAATAGGGACAAGGTCCTTATTTGGGTAAGGAATAAAGTTCTTAGTTCAAAGTGTTAATTTAAACAATTGATAATGGTGTGGATTGGTCAAGGTGACCAAGTGGGAAGAACACGTAAGGGAAATGAGTTATGCCAATGCGATAGCATAGTAAGTTCGAGGAAAGTAGTCTTTATAAGGGATCCATGGGAGGGTCTCAAAGTTAGGCCGTGGATAGAGCCAATAGCAGAAAATGTTAAAAAGACGTACTAAAGGTGAACACCCTCTGAACTTGGCAAAGCAAAGTGTTTGCTATAGAACCAAAAAGATACCTAAAGAATGGAGGTAGCAATCTTATATTGCTAGGTGCAATAATCAAGGATAGGAGCAAAAGACTAAGTGGCTAAGGAAAGAGCCATGGGAATCATGGGGAAGAATCCAAATGGCAAAGTTAGGCCAAAAACACTAATGTGTTGAGTGCTAACGGATTGGGGGAAAAACAATGTGTTTCTAAGGATGGATTCTTAATTACTCCAATATGGCAAACTGAAAGCTCCAAGGGAGGGAGCAGTAAAGTAGCCAAATGATAAAGCCGTGGACAGCTCTAGCACAAATTATGATAACTAGAACTTAGTGCCAAAGGTAGCACGAAATCGAAGAGAGGATGATGGTGCCCTCAAGTAGAGAACTTCCTAGGATGGGAAAGTGGAGTTGCACAATATGTGCAATGCAAGGTGTCGGAGACACCCAGAAAATTGACTTCGAGAAGTCAGAATTAAAAGTTCCAAAGTGCAAGGGTTATATCGATGGAAATTGAAACTACTCAAAAAGGAGTAGTGGGATTGGGTTAAAAAAGGTGTCTTTAACAGGTTTAGCGAGAACTAAACCAATAAAAGGAAAGAACCACCACAAGTGGTTTAATGAGTCTCTAAGTTGGAGAGACTATGTGCCTTAGAGGGTGAACAAAGCATGGTGAGCCTTCGGTGTCAAACCATTGACTAATATTGACGAGGTGTCAAGGAGGGAAAGGGTAATACATGTTGGTATTACTTTATGAAATAGTTTATCATTTGATGAGGATATCAAACTTCGTCTATGGGTGGTGGAGTTGTTAGACACAAGATCCCTAGGCCCCAAAGTGGAGCCGGAAGGGTGCCATGTGGTAGTGGCCAAAGCAAAAACCAAACGAGTGTAACACGTTTGGACTAAAAGCTCTGACTTGATGTAAGCTCCTGAGTTTGGACTTCCCGGGAGGTCACCCAGCCCAGTACTATTCAAACCCAAGGACACTTAACTCCAACTATCCCAAGACCCTTAACCGTTTGGAAAAGGGGGTGCACTCTTATTCATGGGCCCTTTCCCTCTATATTTGAACCCCAACGGATCGTTTCTCGAGTCGTTCCCTTTGGTTGCTTACAATCCACCACGCTTCCCTGCAAGTTCATGCCCTCGTGAACGGAAGCTGAGAGCCGCAGCTCTCCCGAGAGCCTCGCTCTCTTGACACCCTACCCCTCGGGTCGAGCCCAACGCGAGCAAACTGGACCAGCCAGATGTCAATCAACATGTGGTGTGATTCCCTTAGCCAACCAACAGAGTCGGACCCGAGACCCCTCTGATACCAAATGTAAGCTCCTGAGTTTGGACTTCCCGGGAGGTCACCCAGCCCAGTACTATTCAAACCCAAGGACGCTTAACTCCAACTATCCCAAGACCCTTAACCGTTTGGAAAAGGGGGTGCACTCTTATTCATGGGCCCTTTCCCTCTATATTTGAACCCCAACGGATCGTTTCTCGAGTCGTTCCCTTTGGTTGCTTACACTTGAAAGGTCAAGAGCGAGAGTGGAAATCCTAACGAAGTGCTTAAGGAACAAGCACAGAGCAAGCAATAAGTGAGTCTCTAGAAAAGGGACACAAGAGGACCAACATATGACATGTGGAAGTGTCCGAGATGGAGTTCGAGATGGAGTCCGAGATGGATTTGAGATGGAGTCCGAGATGGAGTTTGAGATGGACTCGAGATGGACCCGAGATGGAGTTCGAGATGGAGTTCGAGATGGAGTCCGAGATGGACCTGAGATGGAGTCTGACATGGAGTCCGAGATGGACCCAAGATGGACCCGAGATGGAGTCCAAGATGGAGTCCGAGATGGAGTCCGAGATGGATCTGAGATAGACCCGAGGTGGAGTCCGAGATGGAGTCCGAGAAGGACCCGAGATGGAGTCCAAAGTCGAGATCGAGACCGGGACCGAGACCGAGACCAAGGCCGAGACCGAGACCAAGGCCGAGGCCGAGACCGAGCCCCTGCCCGAGTCCGAGTCCGAGTCCGAGTCTAAGACCGAGTCAGAGTCCGAATTTGAGTCTGAGTCTGAGTTCGAGTCTGAGAGGGTGAAAGCCCAAAGTGTTCGTCTCCCAGACCCTGGGGGGTTTGGTGAGCTCTAAAAGTATAGTAGGGGGAGGACTCCAGTGGAGCCAGTTTGGCCAGGAAAGGTCAATTTGGCCTAGGAAGGTTGTGCCCAGGTGCTAGGTGATGGGATAACCACTGGGAAGTCCAAGGCTAGAGTGAATACGAACTGACAAGCGGGGTAGCTTGGTGTAGTGTTCAAGAGCCGGATCTAGTTCCCCCAGGAGATCGACTGGCCGATGCTCCCAGTCCAAGTGTGGGTGGCACTATCTACTTGGATACCTGGCATGGCTGAATGGAACCTCGCTCTAAGCCCATGGCTAGAGCACCTAAAGGCGGAAGGCGGGGAGAGTACCAATGAGGCCCATATAGGGCCACGGTGTTCCGAAATGTTGTCCCAAAGTCCCAGACTGTGGAAAGGAAGAGGAGTAACCCTCTAGTGTGGTGACCAAGGACACAGTCACATAGTGAGGAAGTCCTAGAGGATAGTGGGACTTAGTGGTCAGGCCCGTGGGCTTTGATCCAGTGGCAGTGTTAGCGAACACGGCCAAAGACAGAAAGGGACTTGGTGAGGACCAAAATGGAGATATTGGGGAAGGCTATTCCCCATGTCTGCAGGCATCCTAAAGATGCTAAGGAGTGGATTTGGGATGACCACTCATGGATGAATGGCCTAGTTTTGGAGAGACGGGATTGCAATGCAAGTGGTGTTAAACCACTGATGTGACCAAGGTGAATGAACGTGGCTTAACGTAACGGGCTCATATGTCAGTGGTACCTTGGGGTGTCGGTTATGGGATCAGACACGCAGAGCACTTGGACCAAGTGCAAAGGTTGAGTGGTATGGATGCCATTCTCGGGGCTAGCAAGCCTTAAGTCCTGAATGGGACTTATGGAGGTTGTGAATGAGACTCCTCCAAGTGGTCAAAGGTGTGGTTAAGTGACTAAAGTGGAATGGAAAAATTAGTCGCTTACAATTCCTAGCTTGATCTGCTCCGAGATATTTGGCTCCACACGAAGCAAGAGACTTCGGAAACGAATGCCAAATCATCACAATCATTAGCATATCTGAATGCATATTTGAAAACGTCTGGAAGAACACTCCAATCTCCACGAGTGGCTATGCTTAAACCATTGTATCACTACAATGCCGTCCCTTGGAGATACGTGGGAAACTCACGCAAATGTTGAGCATCATCCCAAGAATGATATATGGCAACCATCATGAAGTGATCAAACCAATGGCACACATCATCCCCAGGATTTCCACGAAAAAACTCCGGCTGAACATGAGGATTGGCACCAAGAGCTAGAGGAGCTATACCACATGCCATCATCAACTAAGTTTTGTTGTTCAATTGCAATTGCATAGCATCAAGCAATTGCACTAATTGCTGCTCCAGAGTTAGACTGCTATTCTTCCATGAAAATGAATGAAAAGGAAAAAGCAAAAGAAGGGAAATAAAAAAAAATTAATCAGAAAGGACATTGTAGATTCTAGAATCAAGAGTAAGTGTCAATATTTTAATTATTAAAACTGAAAGATTCCTTTTCTATTTTTTTGCATGTTGTATTATTCAAGTGTTTGATGGTTTATGTTATAATGGTAAAACAATTGATTATGTGAGGGTGTATGACTACGATGCCGTATATTAATATTAACGTAGTGGGATTTTGGTAGTAGTCAAATTGGTTTCAATCCGGACCACTTGCTCCTCTATATAAACTAAGGTTTTTGGGCTAATTGATATGCACATTTTCTATATTCCTTTTCTATATTCCATGCACTTATATTAGTAAAGGTGAGAAGCATTTTTAATTGTCCTTGAAGAGTGCTTGGATCTAGGATTTTAGTTTACATCTAGCTTTTGCATTGTCTAAATCTAACTTTTTCCATTTCCTTTATTTTGTTATTTCTATTCAAGATTTTGGTTTAAATATAGCTTTTGCATGGTTTAGATCTCCCTTTCCTTCTAACTTTTTTTCATTTCATTTCTTTTGCTCTTTCCTTTTCATTCATCTTCATGGCAGACCAACAGTCTCCTTATAAACTTCTATATAGTCATAATCCAATATTATCAATAGAGTTGGGTTTACCTTCGGGATTACCACGAGTTACTAATGCTAGTTTGTGGGATTAATATTTAATGAGCATTCTTCCACTTATCCAAGTAGAGCCTACTGAACACTTGGGCCACATACAAATGGGATAACAATGGGGCTATAACTCCCATCATCATCCATTTGTAGAGTATAAAGTAGATGACTTGGTATTAGTTTGTTTTCCCCATCTTACAATACATGGTTTATCTAAGGGGCTCCTTGTTAAGTGGAAATTACTATATTGGGTGTTGTGGCAAGTTGGACCACAAGTTTATAAG